CACACTACATTCTTGGTGGTGGTGGTGGTGGAAAGTGCCACCAAATTGCAGTCAAATTATGGCAACCCCACTGGGTTTTCAAGGCTGTACCGCAGTGGGTTTTCAAGGCTGCACCGCATTGGGTTTTCAAGGGGACATCCTCTGTGGTCTCCCTTCCAAGTACTAACTGGGGCCGACCCTGCTTAGCTTCCACAAGCTGATGAGGTCAGGCTATTCTGGGCCATCCAGGTTACCTGACATACTAGTAATGCAAAATCTAAACTTAGGATACCAATTTTGTATTCTACAAAGAGGCTAAAAACTGATTGTCACATTTCCTGAATGCCTTTGGCTGATTTGCTGTGGTGTTCGGAAAACCGGAAACAACGAATATTCGCACACAGTGTAGCTTCTGGGGTGGGGTCGGGGGATCTCATGTAAGTCTATAGGAGCAAACCTATACTGTATCAGCAGGAGGGGAAGTTTCATTAAAAGGACCCAGAATGACCAAAGGGAGTTGGGACTACATAGGAAATGGACTAAGGAACAGAGAACAATAGTCGAAATAGATGGAAAGAGAAAAGGTGGGGTTGAGAAAATAAAGGACAAAGCAGCAGAAGACATAGAAGGGAACTTCCCCCCACACACACAGAGGATCAGACAGGGTAGGAGTGATGGGATGTTGGCAGCAAGGAAGCAGACAAGAGATTCTGACTGCCAGGGGAAGAAGGTTAGGGAGAATGCACAGGTGCAAAGGAGGAGCTGAGCTTCATGTAGTGAACTGAACCTGCCAATCAAAGCTGGCTATCGGTCTTTACCAATACCCAGAACAATAATAAGATCACCTACCACCCAGAACAAAGTAATTTATCCCCAGTGGCTTAAAGAAATTTACAAATATATCAACTAGACCAGCCACAGTAACAACAACTAAGTAACAACAGTATGTCCTGTGGTTGCAATAGCACTACAACAACAATAGAATGGACAATCACAACATATACTTGTGATGAATTATATAATCAAAATATTACAGTAGAATTTGAACAGAAGTTTTATCCCAACATTTTATCCTTTGAGTTTTATCTCAAAGCCATATAACGTTCTCAAAGTTCTTCCTGCTAATACTCTTTATGTGTACATTCTTATTGTGTATTAGAGTCCATTAGTAGTAAATAGGAATCTTCCCTTTATAAATGCTGATTTGTTTTCTAGATAATTCCCACATTTTGAGAAGAAACCTTCTTCTAAGTGGATTCCTTTATTGAAAAACTGTAGAGAATATACAATAAATTATATACTGTATCATGAAACCCAGTACAAAAAACCTCAGGGTGCCAACAGTCATCAAGTACTCACCAACCAACAATGTCAACATTTCTAAAGGCTGTTATGCATTAGACTATTCTGTTCCTGATTATCTCATTCTTACACGACCACCTACAATATTACACAGGAAGCTGCTTTATACTGAAGTAGGCCACTGGTCCATCAAGGTCTCAGTAGGGTTGCCAAATCTTCTTACCCCTCTCGGCGGGGGAGCGTCGCCGCGGTCCGGGAGTCGCTCGGATGTGTGCGCACGCGCGCCGGCAGCACGTCGCCAGAAGTGACAGGCGACGTGCTGACGTTGGGGGCGTGGCTGAGCTCGTCGGAGGGGAAACTCCGACGATAGACCAGTGGCCCCCCGGCCCGATTTGGCAACCCTAGGTCTCAGTATTGTCTACTCAGACTGGCAGCAGCTCTCCAGGGTCTCAGCCTGAGGTCTTCCACATCACCTACTGCCTGATCCTTTTTAACTGGAGATGCCGAGGATTGAACCTGGGACCTTCTGCATGCCAAGCAGATGCTCTACCACTGAGCATACACCAAGAAGAATATTTCTGGCATTTTGACGG